TTTCAAGTTTCTCAATTTTTAATCTTACAATTTTTCAATTTTTCGTTTCTTTAGTTTTTCCATTTGCAATTTTCGAGTTTTGCAACTTTTCGGCATTACTGTTTTTCATTATTCGATTTTCAGTTCCTCAATTTTTAATTTTTCTATTTTTCTATTTTTCGCTTCCCCAATTTTTGAATTCTTTATACATATTTATTTTTCATTTTCCCGATGTTTTAATTTTCGTTTTCTCGGTTTTTTGATCACATTTTTTCGTTTAATAATGTCCTAATCTTTCAATGTTTTTTCGATTTTATAACTTTTTGTTTATTACGTTTAGAAATTTTCAATATGTGATTTTTCAATTTTTTGATTTTCCAATTTTCAAATTTTTCAATGTTGCAGTTTTTTGATTTGTCAATTACCCGGTTTTTCGATTTCTTGAATTTTCACAATCTATTTCGTTTTTTCGATTTTGCACTTTTTTCGTTTTCAAGTTTGTCAATTTTTAATTATACAATTTTTCAATTTTCCGTTTCTTCGGTTTTTCCATTTGCATTTTTTCGGCATTACTACTTTTCAATATTCGATTTTTCAGTTCCTCAATTTTTAATTTTTTCATTTTTCGTTTCCCCAATTTTTCAAATTCTTTATATTTATTTTTCATTTTCCCGATGTTTTTATTTTCATTTTCTCGATTTTTTATCAGATTTTTTCGTTTTGTAATGTTTTCTAATTTCCCAATGTTTTTCCGATTTTATAATGTTTCGTTTATTCCGTTTTACAAATTTTCAATCTGTGATTTTTCAATTTTTCAATTTTCCAATGTTCAAATTTTTCAGTGTTGCAGGTTTTGGATTTCCCAATTATCCGATTTTTGGATTTCTTTCATTCTCATAACCTATTTCGATTTTACAATAGGTACACACTTCGTTTTTTCAATTTTGCACTTTTTTCGTTGGAAAGTTTCTCAATTTTTAAACATACAATTTTTCAATGTTTCGTTTCTTCAGTTTTTCCATTTGCAATTTTCCAGTTTGGCAATTTTTGGGCATTACTATTTTTCTTTATTCGATTTTTCAGTTGCTCAATATTTAAGTTTTCGATTTTTCAATTTTTCGTTTCCTCTGTTTTTCAAGTTCTTGATATTTATTTGTCATTTTTCCGATCTTTTAATTTTGATTTTCTCGATTTTATATCACAATTTGTAATTTCCCGTAGTTTTTCAATGTTTCCTTCGATTTTTTAATGTTTCGTTTATTCAGTTTTACGTATTTTTATTATTTGATTTTTCAATTCCTCGATTCTCCATTTTAAATTTTTCATTTTGCAGTTTTTGGATTTTTCAATTATCCAATTTTCCGTTTCTTTAATTTTCAATATTTCGACTTTGCAGTTTTTCCGTTTTTAAGTTTCTCAATTTTTACACTTTAGATTTTTTAATTAATTTTTCAAGTTCCTGAATTTCTTTTTCTACATTTTTTAAAGTTTTTATAAAAGTTGAAAAATCGAAAAATTGTGAAATTGAAAAATTAATAATCAAACAGCCAAAAAATCGGAAATAAATGGAAAATCAAAAAACTCAAAAAATAAAAAATTACAAAATCAAAAATTTGCAAATCGAAGAACTGAAGAAACGAAACATTAGAACACTGAAAAACTAGAAATTTGGAAACTTAAAAATCGAAAAAATATTAATGAATCGAAAAAAATGGACACAAGGAAAATCTAATAGAATCGAAAATTTGAAAAACCCAACAACTGCTAAATCGAGAAATTCTAAAATCGTAAAATTGAAAATGGGAAAAATTTTAAAAATTATAATTATTATTAGATACATATTCAAAATGAAAACTAGAAAAACTGCAAATCAATTGAAGAAACGAAACATTCAAGAAAACGAAGAATTAAAAAATCTAAAATTTGAAAAACCCAAAAATTGAAAAATTTCACACTGAAAAAAAGAAAAATTTTAAAATCATTATAAGCATTATAAACCGAAAAAGTTAAAAAATAAAGAATATGAAAAAGCCAAAACAATTGTAAATCGAAAAACTGAAAAAATGAAGAATTGCAAAGTCTGAAAAATGAAAAATTAAAATTTGAATTTGGAACATCGGAAAACTGAAAAATTTTAAAATGATATCTCGAAGAGATGCATATCGTAAAATTGAAGAAACAAAAAAGTGGACAATTGAAAAATGGCAAACCAAAAAATTGGATAAACGGAAAACTAGAAAAAATTGAAATTGAAAAAAATATCTATATAAAATCAGAATACTGAAAAATCGAAAAACTGTAAAAAATAAAGAAAATAAAAACTGAAACGAAAAATTGCAAATCGAAAAATTGAAGGAACGAAAAATTGAAAAAGTTGAAATTAGAAAAACAAAAAATTATAAAACCGGAACACTGAAAAATCGAAGCATTGTAAAAACAAAGAAAATAAAAAAACCGAAACGGAAAATTGCAATCCGAAAAATTGAAGAAATGAAAAATTAAAGAATCTAAAAATTGAAAACTCCAGAAAGTCATCGAAAAGTTATTAAATCCAAAAATTGATAAATCGAAAATTTGGAAAATTGAAAAACTAAAAAATTTAAAGTTGATAACTCGAAAAATTGAAAATCAAAAACTGAAGAAACAAAAAAATGAAAAATTGAAGAACTGAAAAATTTAAGTCAAAAAGGATTCGTGGGTGTTAGTTACACCACTGGTTTTTATTTTATAGAGGCTATCATAAAACAAAAATCTCAAAAAGCTTTTATAATTTTTCAAAGAAGCGGAACTTGCTGCTGCACTTCAGGAACGACGGAATTTCTGTCGAAATAACCTTCGACCAATTTTTTGACGTCAGTTTCCTTATCACCTTTTGGAAAATGTATGGCAACCTTCTATTTAGAAGCATCGATATCTACAAAATTTCTTCGTTGAAATTTCGAAAACTGAACGTTAAATGAAAAAGCGCGTACATGTTTTATGTGGACGTAGTAGTACTCGACGTCGTTGTGACCGCGTGATTCCTTATTAAAACTTTCATTTTTAATGTGAAGCACAGCTTTTATTAGGCGTGCAGCGGTGTTGAATACGAGATTTCGCATAAGCCGAGGGGCGGTGATTTAATCAAGGGACTCAAAACTCGTCGAAAACATTAACACTAGACATTGTAGGAGGAAAGACGGAGCGAGTCAACAAAAGCGGGCGACTATTTATGCATCTTTTATTGCAGGCCAAGATGTTTTTAAAAAACACTCATGAATAAAAACGAAATAAAAGCCGGAAGAAAAAAATCTTAAACTCCTCTGCCAGACAAATGCCGTCGAGGGACGTCTTATGAAGAAATATAATTTCATTTCCTCTTCTATTGCGGAATTTTTCGCGGCGCGGATTCGTAAGGGCATATATTTTGCATATATAATGTTTTTATTACTCAATCGCCCCTTCTACATTATTTATTACTGCCTAATCTCCTAAGAGAATTGTTCCACGTTTTTCACAAAATAGAATTTCCTCGCCTCCATCGGAAGGGTGGAAGCTGAACATGGCTGCATGAATTCAATAATAGCGCACTGCGTCCTCAAAGTCGTCAACAAAACACTGCAAATGGATTTTCTTGGCTATGATTGCTCTGCACTTTGCTAAATTAAACGCACCTTGTTTGTTCCTTGCTCGAGAGGGTTAAATTTATTATGCATTCGTGTAATATTTGCATGCATTTATGGCAGTGCGGTTGTAAACATACATTTCACTTTACAAGAAATAAAATGAACTAAGGGCGTACTCGTTACAAGACTTCCAAATTAAAATAAACACATTCTGATTATCTATTCATCAAACTAAACATAATTATAATTATTCTATTGTGCACTATCAACATACCGTTAAACCTGGACTATGTTATACAAGGTTGCTAAAAAGTATGGAAACATTTGAATATCACGATCTTCTTGAAATTTAGCCAATACTTAAAAATACTCAAGTTCTATTTTCTGCAATTTTTTAAGCTTTAAACTTTGACTACTAGTGCTATTTAAAAAAACCTAGTTACTCCCGCATCTCAAAAACTCGTGAATTATAAAATTTGAAAAAATTGCAGAAAATAGTATTCCTAGGGACAGCACAAATTTCAAAAATATTCAACAAACCGTTCTCGCTATATTCAACTGCTTCCATGCTTTTTAGCGACCCTGTATCTCATCAAAAACAAAGTATTAAATAATTTACTTGATTGTGAGTCGTTAAGAGCACGAAATCGTTCATTTTGGCACTGTATATACGCTATACGCTATCAGTTATTTTGTAAATTTACTAGTTTAATCTTGCGAAAGCCCAAGCTAGATGCTCGAATATTACTATGATGTTTCAAAGACAATTCTCCGCTTATCGTTTCACTTGTTGGTAATGAAACAAGACAGTATTGTTGGCAATGATCACCAGGGATTTCGAGAAGGCTATTTGTTCGTATTAAACTCATATCACAAATCTAAAGCAAGTAAAGAGAAGTTCTTCGATTTATTGTTCTGCGATAATAGACTACTAAAATCTCGTTACATGGAAATAATTTTTTTTGCAGCGCCTGAGGTTTTGTTAGGGTATAATATAATAATTCAGAAATCCTTTTTATTTTTTGTATTGTTGTAATCAATATTAATGCCGTTTAGAGTATCAACAATACGGCAACACAATTTCATCAAAATTTTAAAATGAAACAAAAAAGATAGCAAAACGTGAGCATAATTTTTAAATTATAAAATTCCAGTTAGAATATAGAACTTATTTTTTGTTATCCAAATTACAAAAAGCCCATAGCAGTATATATCTATACACTGCCCCGCAAAATTAACGCAAAATTTTAAAATTTTATTTTGCACAACAGGAAATCCGTATGTCACGGATGTGACAGAATGTGACCATATTTTCCTTTTTCTTTTAAATCAGAGTTATTTTAGAACACATACCATTGGCAGCACGTAGATTACAGTGTCAAGAATGATTTTTAAAAAAATTGACGGGATACAATAATGGGTAAGAGACTGAGAAAACAAAATATGGCGTCACGTGTGTGATTTGTAGAAAATTGAATATAATGTTTTAAAGAAAAATTTTACTATTTCTGCGAATATCAAAACCATTTTTGCTGTTCCTCAATACACAATCTAATGAAGAATAGGTAACAGTTTTTAGTCATAAATTACTTGGAATAACCTATGCAATTTTACAATCCATCATTTTAAATAGTGTCAGGGCTGTGACATAAATTTGCAAGGGGTGTGACTTACATACCTTGAATGTTAAAAATTATAGTAAAACTGGCATAATAAAATAAAATTATATCACAAGAAGAACAATTTTATTAACGTTTTAATATTTTAGCATTTTTAACCCGAGAACGGGTACCTTTTGGATATTATTCAAACAGTTGTCAAAACAAACAGTTTGCCTTTTGTTTCTTGATCCATGTGTTTGAAATTTTGAGTACTGGAACTAAGATCAACACTCCTGAAGCACAAGAAGCGTGCAGAAGCGATGTAGACATTATTCAGTTATTTTATTTACTCCCTTTTGTCATTTTGTAGTAACTGCTAAAAATGGAAATTACGTATATGTAAAGATCCCTACAAATACGGAATTGATTGCAACCAAATTACTAGATTTACATGGCCTACCTTTGTCTAAATACACCCTGAACGGTTTATACTATTTATTTGCCAACAATGTACAAGAGGCAAAGATAGAGGTCAATTTTCCTTTGTATAATTTTGATTAGAAAACCAAGGTTTGTTTCAATCCTTAGAGTTGACAGAACGCTAATGATTTTTTTATACGTGCATTTCAGTAACACCCTGTATATATATTTTTTAAATTTCATATACATTGCACTTACCATCAAGAGCAGTTTGGAATCAATGTTAATTTCATTTAATTTTAACTTTTGTACGTTCGCACTTGTCACACCCGTTACATTTTTTTAGAGCTTCTTCTTTTTCATTCGAGAAATTTGATGAACGCAATAGCTAGATAATCAATTTTTTATTTTGTATATCCATTTTAACTTGCGGGTGAATTGGTTTAAACCATCCCTATAAATTTGTATTAAAATACAGTCACGGCTGTGACATAAAAATCTGATTTATATCCAACGCTTAAAGATACTATAGTAAGTAGATTTTAGGTGTCTTATATATGACATATTAAAATTCATCCTTCAATATATTTATAAAAGTATTTAAGATTTTCATGTGCTTTGTTCTAGAGAAAATACAATTGAATCAAACCAAGTACAAAGGTCTAATGAAAGTGTTAGCATAGTGTTATTTGTGCAGCATATTTTATTTTTTATTCACTCAGGCTCCCAGCAAGCATTTATGGGACATACTGGGAAAAAGAACTGAAGCATTACAGCACCCTCCTGCTACTCTCCCAGAACTAACACTTAGATTGACGCAAGAGTGGCAAGAAATTGATCAAGAAGAAGTTAGAAATTTGATTAACAGTATGCGAGCTGTTATCCATGCTTTAGGAGGCAATACACGTTATTAAGTCGTAACTGAGCCACGTTTAAAGCATTATAAAATAAGATGCTACTTTTTGGTTTCTTGCAATTTGGTCCCAAATCATTATTAGTACGTTTTTTTGTCGATTTTTGTTCTAGAATTCCTATATTTGACTTAATAATTATGAATTAGGGACCAAAGTGTAAAAAATAACAAGATTATCTAAAAAAAATTAAATTTTAAAATTTTGCGTTAATTTTGCGGGGCAGTGTATTTATATTGTATAGTTGTCCAACTGGAAAAACTCTTTTCCATTATTTCATATTTTACTTAGATTTTCAAATAAGGCAGAAACGGATAAAGGTTCTTGTGTTACTGGCCTTAAAAAAATTGGAACAGTTAAAACAACATATATAAATTAACTGTAGAAATATATAGAATACACAAATTTATTTTGATCTGGGGTTTAGAGAATTATAGTACGTTTACCAACAGAATCACGTATTCCAGTTTATTTTTTAACATCAATGTTGTCTAAACTTGAACCAAGTACTGGTATTTCAGGAAAGAAATTTTGGTTATGCATATTTTGTGCGCTGGAAACTATTTATTGTATTATGTCATATTATGAACGAGATATAATTAATCCAAATTATTCCTAACTTCACTCTTACTTATTTTCTCGTGAAAAAGTGTATTTTAAATTAATCGTACAAAAAGTCAAAAAGTGAAAAATATGTATTCTCCTACCCAGAGTGACTCAAACGATGAGCAAATTAGTAATTTTGTAGTACGATTTGAACGAATTTGAACAACTAACAATTTTATTGCTTGCTTAGATTATATTAAGCGAAGCTGTACCAATAGTTTTTGAACTGTGAATGGTGCCTTTTTGGAGCTATTCACAAGATTACTGTGGGTAAAAAGATAAATAGAGTGAATAAGAAACAAAAGTTGTCACAGAAATTTCATGTTGTAATCAACTGAAGATTACAAGAACTTCAGCTACTTTTTCACTGTTCCATAAACATTTCTTTTTTCTTTACTGCCTTGTTTAAAAATATCTTGTTTTAAAATAACGAAATATTATTAAATTAGTGTTCGTCCGTAGTTTCTGTGATTTGAAAAATGTCGAAGGATTTTTTTTTGTATTTTTGATTGTTGGAGGAACAATACCGGAGTTTGAAAATCAGAAAATAACGGTAAAACTACACTTCATTGAACTTGGCTACCTAACAAAGAAATTTAACTGTCAAATATTCCTTAATTAACCTTACAGTAAAAAACTTATTTTGGTTATAACCATAATTAATAATAAATAATAAAAAGTGCATGAGTTGATTTTACAGATATAATTATTAATGATTAACCATTATTAATTATAAATAGAGTGAGTCACAAATCGCTCACTTCTTGATAACTCATTTTAATTTTGAAATTCTGATGCAAGGTGCCAAGTTATTTCAGTTGCTTGGATTTTTTTTTTTAATATAGAGATAAAACTCAAAGCAACTAAATTGAATCTTAGCATGGAGAGTGTTTTTAAAATAATTCTAACTTATTACAATTTTCAGGTAATCATACATCAGTTTTTCTCATACACAGGTTTAGTCACCAAGCGCGCGTTTCTGGATATCTCAGTATTTATTGAAAATAAAAAAAGTCCAAAAGCAAAGAACTATGGACCTTTGAGTATCATACATCAAAATTATTTACAACTACACTGAGTGTGCTGTGCTTGAAAGATAGTACACAAATTAGTATTTTTAAATACAACACCCCATATATATTTTATATACTCGTGTATTCACGTCTTCCTAGGTTTTAAAACCATTGAATATTTTTGAAATTCTGAAGCGATATACCATTTTTTGCAATTTTTTAGCAATGCAATTATTTGCAATAAGATTTTTTTTTAATCTGTGTTATAATATTTTCTGGTGAGGTAAAGAAAGCTACACTCTTTTGGTGTGGTGTAAATTAGTCACACAGAGTGTTTATAAAAAAATTCAAAATTATAACAGTTTTTAAAGATCAATATTTCAGCTTTTTTGTATACCCTATCTTTTATTATCGCTTTTTTATCTGTTTTTATTTTCTTTTGTCAAGTATTTTCTTTATCTAAAGTTGACAGTTCCTCGGATTTTTCATTTTTTTAAGAAACGTACCGATATATCAAAACAAATAAAACAAAAAATAAACTAGCCGTAATAAAATACGGATTTTTGATTAAAAAAAAAATATTGTAACACAGATTTTAAAAATTATTCGATTGCGATGTTTTCGATAAACTTCTGCATTGCTAAAAATTTTATGATTTAAAATATACAAGATTTTAAAAGAAGATCACTTCGACTTCTTCTCAAGGAACTGGGTTTTCGGTGAGCCATAATTTATTCCTTATTTAGTTCATAAGTAACATTTTATATTTTAGTTACAATACAAACGCAACAGAAATGTAGTTCTGAAAGAAAAAGATGAAGTGGTTGCGTGGAGGGGACGTTATTTGTGTCAAGTAAAAAAATTTAGAGAAGAGGGCAAGAAATTATTTTTCCTCAATGAAACTTGGGGGAATGCTGGTCACACCACCATTAAGAAGTGGGAAGATAGCACGATTTCATCGTCAAGGGAAGCTTTTTTAAACGGATTATCAACAGGGCTCAAGGATCCATCTGAAAAGAGAAAAAAATTTATAATATTACACATTGGAAGTGAGGATGGTTTTGTTGAAGGTGGATTGTTAATGTTTGAATCTAAGAAGCAAGGAGATTACCACGAAGAGATGAACTCTGAAGTTTTTGAAAACTGGTTCGCAGAGATTTTGCCGAAGCTAGATAAGGAAGCAGTCATAATAATCGACAATGCGTCGTATCACAGTCGAAAGTCTGAGAAAGTATCTAATGCAAGTACAAGAAAAGCTGATGTTCAAGCCTGGTTGACAAAAAACGAGACCTTTTTTGAAGAGGACATGATAAAGGCCGAATTGTTAGTGAAAGCATATGCCCCAAGAGAAAACAGATATGTGGTTGATGACATAGCAGAAGCTAGTGGGCATAAGGTGCTGAGATTGCCCCCTTATCACTGTGAATTCAATCCAATTGAATTGATTTGGGCGCAGACGAAAAATTTTGTTGCACGTAACAATAAAACTTAAATTGTAAGAGGTAAAAAATTTATTTTGTGAAGCAATAAATTCTGTAACTGCAGAAAACTGGAAAAAGGCCATACAACATGTAGTAAAAGTAGAGGCTGAGATTTGGGATATGGATCAAATTTTAGAACTCCAAGTGGAACCGTTAATAATAAATTTATCGGAAGAAAGTGATTCATGGGATGAAATGTAGTTTTTGCAATTAATTTTGAAAATATAAGATCTTTTGTTTTGTATATTATTTATCTTTTTGGTTATATATTAAAAATAAATTATCGATTTTCAAGAATAATTTTCAGAATATATCAAATGGGATATCTACGAAAAACACTTCTGCAAAAAATATTTTGCAGTCTAAACATGTCTTCTGCGTATTACAGCAATGCGCAACAAGACAGCCCATTTGGTTTTACAACTCTATTTCTTCGCCGTCTAGAGTATAGCATGTCTATTTAAAAACATAAGTTGGATGATGCCCCTCATATACACAACACTCTATATACCACATAACTTTTGATTTAACCTTTTTTAGAGATTAATCAATAATGAAATATCGAGGAGCGTGAACTTAGTACCTCACCCTGTACAACGTACTGTATTTTATCACTACATCTTGCTCTGTCTTTTATTCTCGTTTCTTTTTATTTGGATGTTCAAACCTGAAGTTGACATTTTGTGTATTTAAATTTACATATTGTTTAATAGACAAACCTAAATATCAAGATAAAGAGAACAAAAACTGAGTAAGATGTGATAATAAAAAAATTGGTCTAATTTTATTAAGCAGAATTTCCCTCGCCTCTAGCGTTTAGTTAAATAGTTTATCTAGCGAGAAGTCTTCTAGAGTTGTACTAGAATCATCAATGATGCAAGAATCAAGTGACAGACGCACGAAAAGTCCATCCTAGAATCCTGTTGTACCTATTGTAGCTCCAGGGCACGTGTCGTCCAACTAATGGCTACTTTGGGTTCTTTGTTCAGGAAATGATCACGTATTTTTATTGCTGCATCTGTTCAACGATTCTAGGTGTTTCTAGCTCAGTAGAAACGAGAGCAGGGAAAACTCAGAGAAAGGCAAATGTGTGAAAATAACATACAGAGTGACCAAGTTAAAACTCCGCGGCGTTATATTTTGAGACTTGCAACGTATATTTTATTAATGAATATTGATAGACTGCTAAATTGCGATGATTACAACACTTAAATATATACCGCCTGTCTGGAAAATGGCGGATTACCTCTTCAGTACGTTCTATTATACGGGAGTTTCGGGAGTCCCAAAAAAATAATGAAAAAATTCTTTATGATGTAGATTGCGAATAAAACGTAATTTTATAAACGTAAAATTGGCAACACAGCACACACCTTATGCGTGAATACCTCCGGCTTACTTTCTGGTTTCTTAGTAACGATGGTGACTGAAATCCACATTCGCTTTATATCAGGCAAACATTGTTGTCAAATGGAATTTTATCAAATTATTACAAAAACAACACACCCATATCTTTGTGTATTCCAACTAAAATGGTAATTAAACATAGTCATGGGCGAGAAAAATATTAACTAAAAGTTTTATTACTAGTTATTGTGATAATGAATGAGTTGTTTAGTTGTTAAACGCAGCTCACCAGTTGATTGTTAAGAGCGTACCGGAGAGTTAATCCGCCATTTTCCAGACACCCGGTATTTCATTTTCAGTTGTTAAAAAATAAATGAAAGTAGAGTGAAATAAAGCACTACGACAATTCGAACATATAATACTTGCTTTTGAAACTAATATTTTTAATTATAAAATAAAGTATTACTCTATATGCGTTATATTTGCAGAGTACTAACTTAAGTTTTCCTTTTCAAGCTAAAAATAATGATCTTCACAGAATTTCAATATCTGCATTCGTTCGTAGAATTTTAACTGGGACATCCGGTATCTAACAAATTCTTTGGTAATTGATTTTACCAAGTTAAGCCACCAACGACATTATCTCGATCCACAATATTAACTTGGTTAGCACATTAAAGACACCGCAATATTTAGATATTTTTACCACTAAATTGTACATATTATAATGAGCAACAAAAAAATGTGAGGATTAGAGTAGGCCATAGAAATATCTATACAGGGTGATTTCGAAATATATGCAATAATTGTAACCACGGCATCATGTACCGCAATAGTGTGGAAATATAGAAAAAATAATTTCAAAATCTTGAACTACCTCGATACGATGCCACTGATCCACCTTCTAAACAGTAGGTGGAAAAACTTTCGAATAAAAACCATGTCAACACTTTCAGTTTCAACTAAAAATAAAACCGACTTTTTGCTGGTTATCACTTTTTGATAACCAGCAAAAAAAATGGTTCATTCATGCATTCATTCATCGTTAAAGGTCAGTGCGAAATATTATTAGTTATAGAAACAAATGGTGGTGGATTTTTGGTAATGCTTCATGGTGATCAACTTTTTATTCTGGCGGATGTTTGGTCCTTGCCACAACGATTTCACATTGTTTATTAGAACAGAAATAAGAGCAACTTAGAATGTTATTACCTTTTTACATGAAATGTTGAAAATCTTGTCCTTGACTAGCAATACAAGCTTTAGAACGTCGCAACATGTTTTTTGATAGATAAAAACCATCGGAAGTTTCACAAACTGTAGCGGCTGCCACTTCCACTCATTGTTGAAGCTCTTTGATTGATCCTGAACACTGTTGGTTTTCATAAACTAACTGTTTCATCCACCTGATACCGGCCCATATATTTATGGAAAACCGTTGTTGAAATCGTACTTCTACAAGCGTGTGGATTTTCATCACATGAAATGTGAGTGTTGCAGTGTTGTGACTGTTGAAAACACCATTGTGAGGGGAATCCTGCTTCATCCGTAAACAGAATGCGCTTCAAAAAGTTAGGGGTTTCACGACACTGCTTTAACAACCGTTTGCAGTAAATTACACAACGTGGACAATCAGTGTCGGGCTCTTCTGCGACGCGTTCCAAAATTTGTTCTTCAGCTTGTAGTATTCTTTCGGTTCTAGCATGGCCACGATCGTGAGTTTGAGGTTGAAGGTACCATGATCTAGAAGATGCTGCACCACAGATGTAAATGTTCGCGTAGACAGAATCTCACGGTTTGAAAATCGTTATATCTACAATTCGTGGGCCAAACTGGCATTTTCATCAGCCACACCATAAAGCATTACCATGGCGACACACTCTAAATTGGAAAAATCCACTAAAACCAAGTTGACCGACCAAACGATGCAAGGCAACTGATACATGATTGACCCTTTTCATCTTTTAGCACGTTGCTTATCAGTCACTTTTTTGGTTCTTAATCCCAGTCGTTATATGCCATTCATTGAAAGTTGTAGGTCAAGAAACACTACCAGCGGCGTGTATAGCAATTTATATTTAATTTCAAATAAATTTTTCTATACATTGTTACTTACTACGTAGGAACGTGAAATGCAAAAAGCTTATTGTGAGCTATTCCCCATTTTTTTTATTGCACATATTTCAAAATCAGGGTATATTTCTATTGCGTGTCTTGTCGTCGAGCAGTTGAAAAATATTTCCACTATCCACTCCAGCGAGAAAACTTTTTAATAAAATGTAATCCATTCATTTTTTCTACAAAGTCTGTATAGAGCATTTTGATGACTTTTATCGCCGTAGAATTAACAGTAAAAGTGAAGTTTCCCATTTTAAGTTTCAAGCGGAGAGAAAAACTGATCTTTATTTCCTATTTGCTCTGTTTAATTCTTTCACAAAGCAAATTCACTGTCTCTTGTGAACATTAAGTAAGCTGTTTTATAAGAGAAATATTATTTGCAACTGGCTGCAATTAAACGTTTTAATTCTTATACACTTACAGTTATTCATAAACGATTTAGTTAAAGTAACCCCAGTATTCGTATCAGCTACATCACTGTGGTTTACTAAGTCACTTAAAATAAAACTCCCCGTTCTACTTCTTCGCGATCCACTCATGTTTTGTTAAAGATTTTTTGCTAGCGTCACTTCGAAAACATCGCGCGACATGAGCTGTAAATTCTGAATAGAGAACTCGGCTTGTATTTACAGCAACGTCAAAAACACACAGCAACGACAAACAATAGGTCAAAGAGAATAAAACATGTCGAGAAACGCAACAGAAAAGGGAGAAGTCCTGACACTTCGCCGATTCGAGAACGTCAACGTTCCAACATAAGCTAATTACAATATGAATTTGCTTGCCTGTTGACGACTTTTCTTTTTACGTTGGAGAAAAATGCACGTGTTGCCGTTTACGTCAATGGATCACGTTCGTTATGGCGGCGCACGTAGGAACGTTTTTTCTTTCGGGGTAGTTTTACGCAACCCTCGCAAAAGTAGGAATTCATCATTTCCAAAGCTCTAGTTTACTCACTTATGCAAAGTATGAAGGATTTCTGGAATCAGCGTGAAATAAAAATGAAATAAGAATAATGCGTTACGCATCTCGTCCAGGTTTTAGCTCGTCTCGGGAAAAGTATAAAAAATTTTGCCGAGGAAGAGATTACTTGGAGACTTCCTTAGTGTTAGGAACTTCAAAGAAGTGCGCGTACGTAAAAATAACTGAGGGCTTAAAATAATTCTCCGATTTTTATATTTATCATAAAATTCTATATCCATCTGTTGCGTTAGAAGCAATAAATATGAAGATATACTACCTCTTTTTATATAAAAAGCAATGTTCACCCATTACAACTATCTGAATACATAAGAAAATATGCCTGATATAAATGAATCTTCGGATATAGAAATGTTAGCTGCATTAGTTGCTCAATGTTGGCTACTAAATGAATCAAAAGAAAAATATGAGAACGCTTATCGTCATCAGTTTAAAATGTATGTCAAGAAAATGGAATCAAGACAGTCAAGAAAAAAATTCAGCATCCTTCTAACAAAAATTAAGAGTTTACACCAGTTCTACTACATTCTGGAGTATTTATTCGATCCTGAGAAAAACCTTATGCGAACTGATTATAATTTCCAGTGGAAATATCGAAGGCGTAAATCTTGTTGAAAATTTCGGAAATATTCAACACTTGATCCTTCCGCAGTTGGAAGTTCACGATTTTTTCATGGATACAGAAACAGAAAATGTAATGTAGACAAAGCGTTGGCATCAATACTATTGACAACATAGCACGAGAGATCGTTGAA